TCTATAACTTTAAACAGGAACAATCAAAGGGTGTGTAAACATTTTAACAGTTGAATTGTGTTTCCTGATCAACATGTGAGGAAAAATTCTTCATTTGGCAAAAAATAAGCAGTAAGAATTTAAAAGGTTAAAAAATATATATCTATACAAAAAGAACAACTCCAGAAGAAGCTGAACGTTTTAAGGTACTGTATATACTTTTGAAATGAGTTGAAATGGACAGAAATGGGGCAGAAAAACCAGAGGAAGACTGAATAGTATTCTGACTGATTAGCTGCTGTGTGCGGTAGATGAGTTGAACAGTGTGGTTTTGGAAATACTGCTGGTTCCAGTGTTCTCTGGCTCTGAGAGCCATTAGCCAGGAGCTGATGTGGTTGGAGGTCTGGCCAGCAGGCATCCATTTTAATCAGGGGTGTGGTGCTTCGCCTCAGCCACAACAAAACACATAAAGAAGCTCAGAGGTTTGGGAGTCTGGGCTTGTTTGGAAAGGTGCCTGAACAGAATCATTTCCTCCCTGATTATGCACTATTTGTACTCAAAAATGTAACAGTGGAAGATGTTTAAACATTTATAATGTATTTAGAAATGAAGGCCAGTAAATTAGAATAGCAATGAATTTATTTCAGTAATAAAAGAAATAACAAAATAAAATAATAAAAAAAAGTGGTTATGCAAGATTTTTAGATCATTTTTGACAAGGAAGGTCAGGGCTGTTTCAGCAGAAACTTTTATTTATTAATTGTATTGGTATAAATTCTTTAAATATCAAACTAGGATTTTTGTTATGTGTTACTGTATCCTCCTAAAGCAACACTGCAATTTAGAGCCACTAGGGATGCCCGACTTCTTACTTCTAGGTTATTATTATTTTTTTTTGATAACACAAGTTTTTATAAGTTAATTTAAAACCTTTTCATTATAAGTTGGTGAAAATGTTTTAACATTTGTGTGTCTGTAACTTAAGGGGGATGGTAATAAAGTCTCAGAGGAATGTTAAATAAAAGGAGAAGCACCCAGTGTCACTAAATACCTACCTATAAGACTAATCTAAAACCAATATTATTATTACAAAAGAAAGCAATCAGAGTGATCAGCCATGCAGAATACCATGCCCTAATAACTCAACTTTTTATTAGATTGAATATCTTAAAATTGCATGATCTGGTTGATCTAAACGCAGCAGTCATGATGTACAAATGCATAACCTAATGCTTCCTCACTGGTTGCAAGAAATGTTTTAAACTAGAGAATCTAGATACAGTACAACCTCAAAGGGACTGATCAGCTAAGAAAACCAAAGGTGAGGAAGGGCTGTTTACTCCTTAAAGGAGTTGATCTATGGAACGGTCGACCTGATCAACTTAAGTGCTCCAAAACTGTTCATGCATTTAAATAAAATCTACAGGTCAAATACTATGGAAAAATATAGAACACTTGAATGAAGGTTAAATAAAAAAATTGTTACATCTGAGGCATAGCATAATTTTGATTAAGTAAATTTACATTTTGTGCCTAGATGTTAACTGTCGTTGGTAGAGCGACTGATGTGCCCTCTTTGGGCATAATGTTAGATTTGTAAGTGGGGTTAGGCATTATAAGTCTCTCCCTCAGCCTAAACCCTTTCTGTCAGGCATCGTTTAGCACTTTCTATTCTTAAAAGAACACACTTTTATTGTATCATGTTTCAAATTTGTGACGTGTGCTAAACGTTTATAATTTTCATAATGACCGAAGAAAGAAAATATCAAAACAGCTTAACATGAAGATAAAAAGCTTTAGTGAAATGTGACATTTGATGGAGGTCTGTGAAAGGAAACGTGGGTCAGTTGTAACCACTGTAAACCTTTTTTTTCTCTCTAGTATCTGCTGCCAGTCAGCCGAAACAGGATGAGAGCCTGCCCAACAACAAGACAGAGAATGGACAGAGTCATGTGACCCAAAGGTAAAGCTTGATCCGTTTTTGCTTGCACTGATGTCAGACCACCATGAACAGTTTAAGGCGTTGATGCCAGGACACAAACCTTGAACATTACTACCAAACACTTGCAGAAAGTTTGGGTTTTTAGTAGGTCTGGATGGCAAACACAGAAAGCCGCAAGAATCAGGTCCTCTGTAAACAGTCTTAACACTTGAAGAATGGTCAGATTTTCTAAACTCTTCATATTTCAACACGCTTATTTGTGTAAGGCTTAAAAACATGTTATTTAACAGTAGTGAAATGACTCATCTTTGTCTGAGTCACATTGTGCTGTGTGCCTCCCCCCCCCGCAGCTTGTCGGTGGTTAATGGGCTCCAGCCCACGAGGCATGAAAATGGTCTGTCCTCTAAAGGAGATGCTGCTCCTTTCGAAGACTTTGTTCACCTCACAAACCAGGACAACACCGCCAATGGAGCGCGGGAAAAGTCTGAGAGCAGCGCGTCCTCTGAGCCCATCCTTGCTTTTGAAAGTGAGGAGTCCTTCATGAAGAAAGCGGGCCCCATGAAGCCGCAGCATGTCGCAGGTAAACAGTTTGGAAAACATTTTACAACACAAACATAAAACCCAATTAGAGCTTTATCTAAAAGATTGATGAAAATAACAGTGATCTTATATAAGAGACGAGCGGAAGGTGTGATAAAGGGAATTTGGTTGGTTGGGTTTATTACTTATATTTATATTTTTTAAGTAAAATGTTTTTGGGGGGCTGAGCAGCAGAGTTGTGTATGATTGCTTCAAATCCTCCCTAGTTTTACACACTGAGGATAGATTGACCAACACAAGAACATTTGCCGACTTACTGCAAATTGTGGTTGAGGAATGGGATGTCATCCCCAGTAGTGTGTGACCAAACATTGACCAGGGTTCTCATGCTGGCAGAAAGCTTTGGAAATATTTTCTTTCTTACAAATTACATACTTAATTCTGCAGCTCAACCTACATTCTTTTTGCACATAAATATGGCAGAGTTTAAAGAGAAATGGAGCCTTCTCAACCATAAACTATGATTGCCTAGATGTAATTCTGCTGGCTTCCTTCTGCCAAGGCATACAGGAGGGCTGTAGATCAGGGACTATGTCTCTCACTAGTTCTGGAGCGCCTCAGGCTTCACCTAAGACCTAAAGGAGGTGTGTGGGGGAGAATAAACTCTTGGCAGTTTCTGCTGAGACTCCTGCCCCCCTAAACTGGTCCCAGATAAGCAGATAAGGATGAGAGGAGTACATCATTGCAGCGAAGAAATGTTAAACCCCATCAATATGGCACCAATACCGATACCTTCACTTCAATATCGCTTCCTGAACGATACTTTTTTCAATGGCAGTTTTATAATATCAGTTTTAATCAAAATAACATTGCATTGCATATAAAAATAAAAATCTTGACTTTTATTTTTAACTCTGATTTTACAATTCTAAGTACTTTTCTTTTTTCAAACAGTTCCCAGCAAGTGACAAATCAGTGGCTAATCTCACTGTTAACATATTGAGTACCTTTTTAGTTAGCAGTTTTTCTTCAAAAAGATGAACATGTCTGGTTTCTCAGCAAGCCCACTCCTGGCTGACGGTGTCTCCAGGAGTAGGAAATGTACACTCTGAGCGTCTGGATGATAGTTGCCAAGTTTGTGCACATATTAAGTTGCAGTAACGCTAACAATGTAAACTTACCTGTTGAAGACGAGTCTTGTGATGGAGATTTTGAATCACTACGCTCCGGTTTTGTACTGCTCACAGCTGCTGAGAGAAGGTGGCTGTTCTGGCTGCGGTCCGCTCTTCTTGCAGTCAAACACTGAGCAACTTTCCACTCTTAAATTGAACCTTTAGCCTTAGCAACAATGTCATTTTTGCATATATTGCATTGCGCACTATTCGCATCAATCTTTTCAAAGTGAAGCCACACTTTTGAGCTTGGTGGCATGTTTCAGTGGTTCGACGAGGCTGGCAACTAGTTCACAACAGCAATACATGTGAATCCCTTTTGTAGGCATAACCACGTATTTTTCCAGAGTGATACAAACATGTTATCGTTACAACCAGCATGGAAACTTTACGCAGAAAGACGATGCATGTTTTGATACTCTGTAAAAACATTCGGTATGATAAAACAACCAAAGTTTGGTACCCTCCACTGGGGATGCCCTGATAAGGAGACAAAGCAGCTTTGTCTGTAGATGTAGGTGACCTGTCCCTGCTGTGAAGCATCTCTGAACCAGAGCCACAGTCAATCAAACCCACAGTTCATCGCCCCGGTGAAAGTGAGACCCCTCTCGGGAAGAAGAAGGTGCGGTACGAAGAGTTGGCTTACACTAAAAAAAGGTGGAGATGGGATATGGAAGCAGCGCTGCGGGAAAAGTCCAGGAGAAGCGGGTAGTATCTTTTTCCCGTTGACAGCTTTTATTTACCAGCTCGACTGACTCAGGCCTGGACCCAGAGGAATGCCAGAGGCGACGAGGAGCCCTATCCACAAGTGCCTCACCGCTAGGAGTTAGAAACATGAGCCCAAAGCAATTAAGCACCAAGCAATGCTGCAGTTGTATCCCTTCCAGGAGCGACGTCAGAAACAGCCTCTTCTCCACTGGATTTTAATGCTCACCTGTCACCCTGAAGACAAGCCAGAAATCATTATGACTTTCTGGAAAATGGAGGATGTCTTCTTTGACAACACCCCAGTTCTTTCCCTGTAGTCCTAATACCTTTTATCTGAACTTGATCTCACATACCTCTGCTAACTCCATCATAAAAAGATAAACACCATTGGCTTCTCGTCTTCACTCGTAAATCTGGATATGTGAGATGCTTGACCCAGCAGGACTAATACTCCAGACTGGTTTAATGTCACATTGTAACTCCACATGAGGATGGTTTATATTCAGGCCTGAATCAGAGGTTTATTTGAGCCCTTAAATACTAGCAGATGACCCTGCCTGACCCCCACATCATGGCTGTATGTAAGAAATGTGCATCACATGTAAGCTGCTTTTTACTGAAATATCTGTACATTTTGAGCCCTGCTGTGTTTTAATTTGATCCTTGTAAACAAGACAGTAAAGATTTATTAGGAATCTGCCCCTCCCGCGGCATGTTTAACATCCTTTTGCATTTAGTATTGTCAACGGGTCAGAGGTTTAAACACAGTCGTTACTCAGTTCACTGATGCCAACCTGTTATTTTGGATACAAACTGGACTCTGTTTCATCTGTTAATTCAATGATGCGGCTTCATTTGTATAAACTTTATTATTCAAATAGCAAAACACTTACTCATTAGAGACAGAGTTGCAAATTTCCAGTTATTTCAGTTTAATTTAGTCAAATTTACAAGGTGCAGTTTAGGGCTGAAACAATTAATCTTATTAATCAATTATTGAAATAATCCTAAACTATTTTAGTAATCGGTTATCGTTAAATGGAGTATAGAGACTGTAGAACATGCCTTTAGGTGACAGAGCAACCTGCCTAGAGCGGTAATTTTACCAAAATTGTCAAGAAATATGTAAACATTTTGCATTTAAGATAAAAAAACAACATTTTTGTCTGTCAATACTCCAAAGTGGACACATTTTAGTTTCACCTGGTTTAATTTAGTAAAAAATCTTCATTCAGAAACCTTTGGCTATCCGATTATTGATGATTAATTGAAAAAATAATTGACAGATGAATCAATTTGAACAATAATCCTTATTTGCAGCCCTATTGCAGTTTAATACAGTTGAAGCGGAGAACAGTTGGATTTCCTGGGCTAAGACTATAAGCACCATGACAATAAATTCAGTTTTTGGCTGCTATGTTTGGTGGCTCTGAGAGCACCGACTACAACTAAAGTCTTAAAATCCCTATAAGGTTGAGATTATTCCCACTTTCTTTTTTCTACATAGCTTCTTTTAATACAACCGTTGTTAAAACATTTCTCACTTAACGTTTAGGTAGTTTATTTGAAATTATTCTAATTAGAGATGAAGTTTAAATTTGATTATCTTCAGCTGTAGACTACAATATTTTAAATTGAAAAAGACCAACCCTTGAAATGGAAATCAAGTCAAATCTCAGGAAGCTTCACTTTTCTTATAACTTATAACTTTTCCCCTGATTTTCTCCTTTTTCTGTGCTTCAGAGGTCCTGTGACGTCTTCCAGTGTTCCTGCCGCCTTAGATTGTCCTGAACCTTGCCAACGCTCCAACAGTGAGCCGTGTGACCTGTGCCAATCATAAATATCTATGCTCTCCAAAGTTAATATGCCATTCTGAAGAGGAAGGCTCCCACAGAAGAAAGCGCACAGGATGATCGGTGCAAATGCAGCACAGATGCATCAATTTCACCACATGTAAAGATCCCAACGCCCCCTGATTCAGGACTCTACAACACTCGGCAGCATCCTTGCTTCCTACTGACTATATTGCAGATAAATAATTCATTATTTGTTCTTTAGTTATTTAACTGAAAGGAAAATATAAAGGACTGTCCACGTTTTTGTGAATACTGTAAATGAACTTTGTTTCAGAGAAAGAAGAAGCCACTTTGTGGTTTTAAAGCTCGACAAAAGGGATTCTCTTCTGCCAAGAGCAGAAAGTATCAATGTAAAACTCACTTGTCCTACAGCTTGGTTTGTATAGAGCTTCAGGAGCAGATTTTGTAAAGTTAAAGAGAAACATTTTAAATGGAAGCTGATGAAAAAACAGCTTCTCAGTGTCTACTAGCTTTGAATGATTGTATGCAAAACCTGGATGTACTAATGAAGTGTTCACATCTGTTATAAGTCATTTTCCTACAAAAGGAATTACTCCTGCTGTAGTGATTTGTTCTCCCACTCTTCTTCAAGCATGACAGTTTTCTCTCATTTACATTGAGATTCACTGAACCTGTAGGTGTTTGAAAAGCTGTAAATGTTCTGAATTTAATTTTGCTGTGTTGTTAAAATCAGTGGGAGTATTCTAAGTCTTAATAAAGACAGGCAGTCTACTCTGGGGTCTGGCTTCTTCTGTTTGTCATGGAGAGACTGCTGACCTGACATCTGCTTAGTGGTCACCAGCACCCAGCAAAATTAAATAAAATGCTCATATAATCCCTGTAGCCTCTAAAAGATTTTCCAGCACAGTTTTTTTTTTTTTTTTCTCCTTCCACCCAACTTTCCATTAATCTGATTGGATTCATCATTTTTAACAGCCACAATGTTTACCCTGATTTTTTGAAAAACCATAACCTGGTATTTTTTTATTTATAAGATTCATTTTTAAGAAGGATGTACACATGCAATCAGTTAATAATTGCAAGAGAAAATATTCAAATTACTGAAGACCTTAGTTAACTCTGTTGTAAATTAAGAACTATGAAAACTTAAGAGTAACTGATACAAAAGCTTAATAAGACAACAAAAGTTTTAAATGTCAAATGACATGCACAGTTTCATATTTGAATTCCCTCTAATTTAGGTTTCCTTTTTTGTATTAAAAGCTGTATTTTTTGCTCTTAGTTTCTCATAAGATAAAATCTATGCCCGATGCCTGCCATCTATGAAACTCCCAAACTGGATTGGTGGTCTGGTTGCAAGAAGCGACTAAAACTTTTGGCTCTAAATATGGTTTTGATTCATTAGAGATTAACTGTGCAGATAAAAAGATGCTGATGTTTTCAGTTGTAAATGTACAAAATAAGCTCAATTGATAATCACAGATTTGACAGCTAAGTATCCCCACCCCCATATTTGTTTTTACTGTTTACCCTCCAACAGTTTTCAGTTTACTAAAATAGATTCAAAAACGATATATTTTGTCACTTGGATTCATGACGAAGGGAACTTGCTCACCACGCAAAACCAAACGACGATAAACTTTATGGACATTGCAAGTGAGTTGGCTCAGCTGTCCATTTCAGTTTGGCTCTCCTTTTACACAATCTCCACAGGGGGTACGTGCCACTCCCCCCCTTCCTCCCATTCCGCTTTATTTTTGTGGCCACTGGCAAGCTTGGCACAATGTTTCCAGGCCTCTTGTCAGCTGAACACACGATTTATGTTTCCCTTCATGCAAACGCGAAGACATCCCACACTGATAATCATGCAGAACTTGCATGATTTGAATGTCTCAAAGCGGCTGTGAAATGTCGCCATGGTGTAGCCCAGGAGAACAGAGGACTATAGCTTGTTCACAGTTTGTTGTTTGAGGATGGCGTCTTAAATCTCAGTAGGCTATACTCGGTACCTTGCTGAACCACTTATACCCCTCAATCATTTTCACTTCACACTACTGGGATTTCATGAAACAGATAGCGGAAGGAAAAGAACAGTTAGTTTAATTATTTGTCAAATACAAATCTAGTATTTTCTCCACTTAAAGAATGCTGCGGTCTGCACCTCAATTCTATGTAAACTACAAGTATTTTTGATTTATCTCTCCACCAGCTTACAACAGCTACAGACTTAAACTTTAGGCATCATTTTCTGCAACTTAGATCAATCTCAGTTAGATTGGATCGAAGGTGTCTGTGAACATCAGTTTTCTTCATGCCATTGATTCTCAGTGAGGGCTAGATTACAGCATATTTCACTATTTAATGATCCTGTCAAACTTTGCCGCTCGCTGTTAGGTGATGATGCCCTCTTGGAAGGTCTCCAAGATTTTTACAGCCTCTAACACGTTTTCTTCTAGGAATATTTATTTAGCTCTATCTAACACTGACCCGGTTCCCTATTTTTGCAGATAAAAGACAAAACAAAACCCCCAAAGGATATAGCAGCCAGTTATGTTTCACCAGGGAGGCAGGTGGTGTGTTTATAGTGATATAAAACTGGCGTGGTTTGAAATTAAACGGAAATCTAACAGGGTGAGTAAGAGTATTTATGTACAATATTCTTTGTCCTTTGGGATTCAGACATCAGTTTATATTTTTATAGATATTTAATGTGCAAAACTAAAATTGAAACTCTTGATTTGAAAAAAAAAAGTGGATTTTAAAAAGTTTTACAATCAAAAGTGTAAAAGAAATAAAAACGGTCTGCTGTGTCTCTAACAGACTGCTCTTCCACTTGCTGTGCTGCCTTCATGGATTGTTGTAAATTCTAAACTTACTGTTTTCCTATTGATTTATGTTTTCAAACAATGATCCAAGAGAGGTTTAAGTTCCAGTTATTGTCTCAGGACATAACCAGGCTTTAAGCGCTTTGTCAGCTTTAACCGTGACGCCTCTGGTTTGCTACTTGGTTCAAACGATACCTTTTACTCAATAGTTTCACTCCTGTAGTTGGTTGTTTTGGAGTTTATGGGTATTAATTTAAGAATTACATTTACTAATAATTCTTAAATGTTATTATTTAAAAACATTTAGTATTTTCCTTTCACTTCAGTACTTTGTACTTGTTGATTACAAGTATTGAATTGTTGTGTAAATGTTATAAACAAACTTTTGAAGAAAATAGGATTTATTTATTTATTTTGTTCGATTTGAGAATAAAAGATGGCTGGTCATAGTAAGGCATTTCCTTTAGAGTATTAGCTGGTATTGACAATAATTTCAGCTATTTAATCTGTACCTGCATTTAAAGGCAGTATAGATTCACCCCACAAGAGGGTGTTGCTCTGCACTGATGCAGGTGATGCACTTGAACATTTCTGGGTTTAATCTTTAAACTTCTATGCTTCCCCTATAGGATTATGTCTTCAATTGGTCATGTAATAAAACTCACACAGTTCCCAGAAATTAAAAAGCAACAAAAAAATATAAAATAAATAGAAATAAAACCCTTCTTTGCTGCAGCTGAGCCGTTCGTCAATCCCTGGTAATGTGTAGCACTTCTCAGAGGGGGTTTAGGGATTAGGGGGCACTATTTTTAGGGAAGTGTTGCAGGGCAGTGCACAATTACAGAGCTGGTAGTGCCAAGTTTTAAAATACGGTCTTGGAAAAAAAAAAGGTGAAATCAAATGTGGACCAGAAAGGTGATCCAAGACACACAGATACTAAATAAATAAAGATTTTAGCTTCATCAGAATAGTCAGATTCTCCAGGGATGAATAGCAGGACCATCTGGTGTACGGGCCCTCTCCTATTAGCAGCACCTGCTGTGTCCACTCCACTCTGATTGATGTGTGCATTATCTCCTCAGCATGCAGAGAGCCGAGAAGGTCTCACCATTCTGACTGTATTTCAACTTCACCCCACACTCAGAGAGGAGCCGAGGCTCGGATAAATTGACAAAAAGAAAATCATATGTGTTCCATTTCTATTGTAGCAAGTAAGAACCTAAATGTTGTGTAACAGTTTCTTGGAGCAGAGCCTCCAGCCTCCTCTGAGACGCACACTCATAGCTTCCCCATTACAAATCTCTACACGTGAGGACTTTGAGGAATCTGGCAAATGTTTCATAACAGAAACGGCGTCCACTCAGCTACCGTTTCAAACAAGATAAAGAATGGGACCAACGTATGGGGGTCCCACTCCAGATAAGACGGCCGGTGCTACAGGCGAGCCACTATCACTGCCATCAAAGCTCAACCTCTGTTCAGTGTTTATTCTCACCCCTGTCTTTATCTGCACAGCAACAGGCTCTGGTCAAAGCTACTCTCAGATGGCAGCGCCTTATTGAAAGGCCAGAGAATGGACGGCACTCAAAGCAAATCCGGGTACGCTATCCAAGCAAGGCAACCTTTCAGCTATTGTGACAAGAGATGGCCTGATTAGAGAGCAAGCAGGAACCTCTCAGGTTAGATTATTTATACCATCCACTGGATATGGCTGCTCTTTTAAAAGTCGTTCCCAAGCCTGTATAAGGTTTCACTAAACCTTAAGTATTTAAGGAGATGGTGACCTCGTTGGATGCTTCCTGCACTCATGTCATTGCAACCCAAAGGCATTTAATGCAAATAAAAACAAGAGCAGATAAAGTGCAAAGAAATTTATTGGACAGCTAATTCATTTAATGAGAACATTTGCTTTTCACTCTCCGTCTTATATTTTAACAGCTAATAAATCAAGCCCTGAATACTGTATGCTGCTAACAATCAACTGTTAAGGCTGTTAAACCCCTTAGAAATTATAGATACACCAATTAAATAGAAATTGTTTATGATACATATTTTTGTTACATCATTTACCACTGTAGGTGAGTTAGTCAAACATATTCTCACCATTTATGCAACCAATAGCATGTTTGTTGACCCTCGTCATATTAAGTTATGTAAAAAGTCAGAAAACTATCTGAGGTACGTATACATCTTAATGCATAAATAGGAACACTTGTGAAATTTCATCATGGCTCCAAACCTGCAGCACATTTCTGTTTGGTGGTCATCATCACTACAGTTAAGCCAAGAGCTAAAAGTAGAACATACATGATGATGATGAATCTTTGTAAAAATGTCAGGGTTTCCCATATGTATTATTGTGCTTGTAGTGCAGCAGCTGAAATGTGCTAATCATTGGAGCATCATGCTACCTAGCTGAACCTTAAACACTCTTCCTTAATCAAAAAAATGTGCCAAACATGTCAATTAAGAATATGTTCACATTTAGAGATTATGCACATACAGATACTGTGCAGAGTATAAAAAATGTGCAGTGTTAACCGCTTGGAAGATTGGACTAAAGGATTCAGCCTACAACTCTGATCAAGGTAGTCAAGGTAAATCATTTTCAGAAGTTAACATCAGTGTGATGTTCTGTGCAAAAATCTGTCTCATAAGGAGTCAGATTTCTGTTTAAAATTGCCTTGAGCAATCTTAATTTTTGCTTTCTAAAAGTATTTTCCTATGAGCATTTTCTGCTTTTGTTGTTTTGGCGCTGTCCATTTATTCTACTGTATACGATGTACGTATGTGTGCAACATCAAAATAATTAGAAAGGTGGGCAAGTGTAGGACAAAGGAAGTAGTATCCTGCCTAAAAATATCCATAGCGGATGAATAGCACTTGAAAGTGAGTTTTTATTGATAATGCAGAAAAGATATGGTATCTGTGCAAATTGGATGCAAGTTCTCAGTGGTCACT